TCCCATCTCTCATCTCCTCGCTGTACTGGACCACGGCGCTGGAGATGGACCAGGCAGTGAACGGACACAGCCTCACAGCCGGAGTCTTCCGCAAGGTGTCGCACGTCACCTACGCAACAGGTGCGTGTGTGAGCGCGCCACCGTGTCAGTGCGTGAGCACGCCGCCGTGTGGTCGGTGGTGGTAATGCATGCACGATTGCTGCAACGATTATGGTTCACGTAAAATGAGTTGTTGGATGGCGGTGTGGTGGACTGAGTGGTAGTATCAGGACACTATAGACATTATTGTACCACACTCAACAACCTACATTCACTACACGAGTTATATCTAGAATTTTATGTAGTTTCGTTATTGTTCACCTATCTATATCTATCTATGTATCTATATCTTTATTTATTTATTTATTTATTTATTCATTCATACATTCATTTACATTCATCACATTCATACATTCACACATTCATTCATTTATTTGTTTGTTTGTTTTATTTTATTTTTATTTGTTTAATTATGTATTAGTTTATTTATTTATTGATCTATCTATAAGTGAGCTAGTAGCTGCTACACCGCGTCTGTTGTTACCGTGTGTGTTCGCAGGAGACCGCTTGACCATATATATATTAATTCATTTACTCATTTACTTATTTATTTATTTATTTATTTATCTTATTCAAATATTTTATTTTATTTTTATTTATTTATTTATTTATTTATCTTATTCAATTATTTTATTTTATTTGTATTTATTTATTTATATATAAGTAGAACTCTAAGTAAACTAACTAACTATGTCGTATAGGGCGGCTACACCGTGTTGTTACCGTGTGCGTTCGCAGGAGAGCGCTTGACCATCACGTCGACAGCTCAGGGAATCAACGACGACGGTCAGCTACAGGTGGACATAGAGGTGGACGGACGTGTACCAACACTACCGACCGGCGTCGTCCTGCTGCGGCCATTCACAGAGGACTATGTGCAGAGTGGAGAAGGTAGGGACAGACTATGTACAGAGCGGAGAAGGTAGGGTCAGACTACGTACAGAGCGGAGAAGGTAGGGTTAGACTACGTACAGAGTGGAGAAGGTAGGGACAGACTACGTGCAGAGCGGAGAAGGTAGGGACAGACTACGTGCAGAGACAGAGAGAGGAGAAGGTAGGGGCAGACTACATGCAGAGAGGAGAAGTTATTGGGACCTGTCAGCGGGGAAATATTGCACGATGATGTAGAATGTGTGTGTGAGAGGTTCCAGCAAGACTAGAGAAGATAGGGCTGCCACCATACGGGAAACATTAGAGAAGGGTTCGAAGGAGGTTCCAGCAACACTATAGAGAATGAACATTTGTTTTCTTTCTTTTTTGTCGTTCTTTTAATCGCACCTTGTATATCAACACCTGTTGTCGAAACGAGAGTAAACTATATAGTCTATGAGAAGCCTATAAAATTTTACTTATTAAAAGTTCTTATTTATAGTTATGAATTATTACTAATTAGAAATAATTAATAACTAGCAATTCATAACAGTAGTAGTAGTAGTAATAATCATAATGATAATAATAATAATAATAATTATTATTATCATTATCATCATTATTGTTGTCAATAATAAGAATCATTCTTAATTTTTATCAATAATAATAACAATTATTAATTATCAAAAACCATTCTTAATCACCCCATAATTATTCATCATCATCATCATTACTATAATTACCATTCATTGTGACTAGGCTCGCTATACGGGTATTCGTCACGGAGCTTCCAAGTGAACGGCTACATGCTACCGTACGCGTGGAACCACACGGTAACGTACGATGCGGACGCTGGTAGGCTGCCTTTCCTCGTCCAGAGTCTGTTCACGACCAACCTGCGCGTGCACTACGGCCGTGGCCACCGCAAGCTAAAGATCCGTGCAGCGGCAGCCATCAGGAAAGGTAAGTGCGGGGAGGGGGAGAGGGAGGGGAAGGATGAGGATGAGGAAGAGGAGGAGGGGGGATGAAGATGAGGAGGAGGGGATGAGGAGGAGGCGAAGGATGAGGATGAGGAGGAGAAGGAGAAGAAGAAGAAGGAGGAGGAGGGTGAAGATGAGGAGGAGGGGGATGAGGAGGAGGGGATGAGGTGGAGGAGGAGGAGAAGAAGGAGGAGGTGAAGGAGAGGGAAGAGGTATAGAAGGACGATAAGGAGTAAGTGAAGGAAGAGGAAGAGGACAAGGGAAATGGAAATGAGGAGGGCGGAGAAAAAGGAAGAGGGGCAAGATAAGGAAGGTGTAAATGGGCAATGAGGAGTAAGAAGAAGAGGATAAGGAGTAGGAGGGGAAGGATGCCTATGAGGATGAGGAGGAGATGGAGGAAGAGGAGGGGGAGGAAGAGGAGAAAGGAGACGGTACGGAAAACAAAGAGGGGAAGACTAGAAGCAGTGTAGAAGAAAAAGGAAAAGTGAGCGAGGAAGAGGAAAATGAAATATACGAGAGTGAGCTGAGACGTAAGGAAGGGGATCAAAACGAAATAAGGAGGACAACAAAGAGGTAGAGAAAGAGGAGAATTTATATGATTGTTATATCCGTATTCTGCCTTTCTATCCATGTTATATACTTCTTGCAGGAGAACCCAGCAATAGATGTCCAGAGGGCTTTACACTGGACGTGAGCGGACCTTTCTGTTTGGACGATGACGAGTGTGTACGCATGCAGCCGTGTGCACACGTCTGTAACAACGTGCTTGGAAGCTACTACTGCTCCTGCCCGGATGGCATGACGCTAGGACCGGACGGAAAATCTTGCCAGGGTATACTATATCTCCTTGAATACGCAGATAACATGCTGACGTTGGGCCAACGTGGGGCCGACGGCTGTCTTCAGCCCATGCCAACATTGGCCCAACGGATTTTTGCTCAGCGCGCCAACGTTGGCCCAACGTTGGCAGCCAACGTCATATTGCCAACTGTGACCGTGCCAACCAAATGCCAACGTTGGCCCAACGTAAGCATGTTATTTGGGTACGTTCATTCGGTTGGTTCATAATAGAGATAACTTGGTTGATTTCTAATCAACCGTGAGGCAGAGTTAGTCTGTCTGTGTACTTGTATTATATCTGTCGGAGCATTCGGTTGTTTTAGTCAGCTCTAGGTGAACTGATGAATGTTGCTGATGCTGTTTGTGTCGCTGCTGCTGCTGTTGTTGTCGCTGTTATCGTTGTTATATCATTATAGTCGTCGTTGTTATTGCTGCTGCTGCTGCTGTTGCTATTGTTGTTGTTGTTGTTGTTGTTGTTGTTTTTGTTGTTGCTGTTGCTGCTACTTTTGTTGTTGTTGTTGTTGGTGGTGGTGTTATTGCTGTTGCTGCTTGCTGCTGCTGTTGTTGTTGTTGTTATTGTTGTTGTTGTTGTTATCATCGTGTGTGCGTGTGTGTGTGCGTGTGTATGTATACATATATATATATATATATATGACATAACTAGCCTAACATGTCTTGGTGTGTAATCGTCATGTTGTTGTGTGTTTAACTGTTCATGCTTACAAGGACGGGACCAGCATTTACGGATCCATGATTCAGGAGCAAGCTGCAGCTGTAGGTATACGTGATTGTGCGTGCGTGCGTGTGAGCGTGCGTACGTACTTGCGTGTGTGCGTGCGTGCGTGTGTGCGTGCGTGCGTGTGTGCGTGTGTGCGTGCGTGCGTGTACGCGTACGTACCTGGGAGCGTGCGTGCGCGTGAGCGTGCGTGTGAGTGCGTGTGTGTGCCTACATGCGTGCTTACGTACGTACGTGTGTGCGTGGGTCTACGTGTGTGCGTGCGTGCGTGCATGCGTACATGCGTGCGTGCGTTGCGAAGTAGACTTCTGCACGGAGTCGAGTCTAGCTACCTCGTTCTTCCTGGTTGCCAAGGTTGAATCTAACTCTCTCTTCCTTGCAGACTTGGACGAATGCCAGCTGGGCATGATGACGTGTGCTGAGGGTGAGGAGTGTGTAAACACCATCGGTTCTTACCAGTGTGTGCAGCCGTGTGGGGAGGGCTACAGGCGCCAGGGCCTCGGACTACTGTGTGTGGGTAAGCTATAGGGTGGGGGAGAGCTATATATATATATATATATATAATAGAATATATCCGACATTTAGTTTACACAAGCGCTTAAT